GGTACTAACTACGCGCTTTTCCTTGACTTTTTTTTAGCAATTAGGTTCCCACTAACTCAGTACTAACTTCGCCATCACTGTAACATGTGCAGGAAAGTAGCCAACCTGCTAGAGACAAGTTTAGACGCCCCCAATGCTGTGAGCAACTGATCACGGTTTTGGGACGCACCCCACGTGATAGGGGCGAGTTGCTATCGGTGGGGGCCATCAACCTGACAAGTCACTCAGTAGTGGAAGCCCTTGCACTCCTCCATCCTTGTCGGACGAGCCAGTCTTAGCATGTAGTGGTGGTTAGCCCTCGAAGAGAGTCCATAGGGAATATTCTATTAACAGTCCTCGCAGTAAGAAGAGTAGCCAGACTCCATCCGTAGAAGACTGCCTTGAAGACTGGGCCACATTATCGGGGAGGCTAGGTCCCAAAAGGCCAAATCAAAGCACTAATGCTCAGGAGTTGGCCCAAGTCCATCAGATTACATTGCAAGATGGTATCGGTGAGGACCGATGTAGTATTTGTGCAAGCCCTAAACCTATGCAACAACAGACTCCGTCGTCGGGCTTTTCTTAATATATGAAATCTAAAGAGGGCCAATTTGGCTGGATCAATGTGACGTGGGGGTTCGTGTGCTCCACAAAGTCCCAAATGATCGCACATTTGTTGGATTGCGGTTTTTCTATTGTTTTTCATTTTCCACCATGTGCATGTTGAGTTCATTACATTGGTTGTTTTGTTATGTTCGTTTTGTTTGTTTGAACAAAAGGCATTGCGGAGAACTAATGTACATGTCGTTGTCTCGTGTTTTGAATAAAATATTTGTGTCGTCGTCTTTGTGAGCGTTGTAAGACCTTATGCATGTATCACTTTTCTCTTGTTCATTCCTTACATACATTTGTCTAAGGTGGTTGTGCCACCTACCTAGTTCAGGTATCTTGACATGTTCACTTATTAGCAAATGTTTTTTTCCCAATATATGCATTTGCATCTTACTGATTTCGCCCATTTGCGGGTAGCATAATAAGCAAAGACTGACGAGTCATCGTGACAAATGACACTTCAAATGATGGACCCGAAACATTGTGACCTTGGCGAAGGGCGGTTGTCCTTCCGAGGTTGAAAGGTATTATGTCATGACAAATGCCTAAGGTAAATTCTCCTTGTCTCATTCCTAAGCTATCTAGAGCCCAATGGATGCGACTTACCCTTATATCGACCAAACCAAATGTATAGACAATTTATGATAACGCGTGATGCCTTCATGCATTTGCATGACACCCTATTTGCCGTTTGGCCTGCCATCAACAGAGATAAGTGCACCTCGGTAGAAGCTCTAGGCATGTACATCCGGACTGTGCCCACCAATCTGCAAGTAGAGAGTACAAAGATAGGTTTGAAAGGTCTTTAGATACGATTAGCGTAAAGATAACAGCGATTCTTGAGAAGAGGTCATGTATAGGTGGGCAAATACTGTCCTAGTGCCAGCAGATAGCAACTACGCACGCGTAAGCCACAAACTTGCTGCATATGCACCATGGTTTGATGGATGCATAGGTGATATAGATGGCACGTACATAAAGGTTGAGGTTAACCGTGAAGCAAAGGCTGATTTCTTCAATAGGAAAGGTGAAACAACAATTAATGTTTGTGCCATCGTGTATATGGATGGCCGTTTCACATACGTGGGGGCCGGGAAGGCGGGGGCATGTCATGACATGGCGGTGTTGAAAGACTGTCAGGGCGACGGTTCGTTCCCACATCCCCTAGTAGGTTTGTGATGCCTTGATGTTCACATTCCATAATTGTTTGCTTGTACTAGATGTATTGAAGCATACTTCTGATCAATTTGCTATGGCAACTGATGCCTATATATTGTTTCCTTAAACAATTTGCAATTTGATTTCTCAATATGACAATACAACATATATGAATTCTCAATACAACAATACTGATTTGTTATGGCAGCTGATACCTACTTATTGTCTCCTTATTAAACAATTTGCAATTTGATTTCTCATTATGACTATGCTAAGGTGGGAATTCCCAAAACAGCAATGTTGATACATTTGTGTTCTCTGTGTCATATTAATTAAGTTTAGAATTACAAATGATTAGATTGTCATGACTGTACCTAGTAAGTGATCTGTTGACAGGGCTAATTGGTGAACTGTTTTCATTTCTTGTAGGCCGATACTACCTGGCGGACGCGGGTTACACGGACATGCCAGGTTACATGACCCCCTTCAGAAACACAAGGTATCATATCAATGATTTTAGGGGCGTAGATTTGCAGCAGTTGCAGAGGGAGGAAAAATTCAACTACAATCATGCGAAGTTGTGAAATGTCATTGAAAGGAGGTTTGGGGGGTTGAAAGAACGTTGACATATTCTGAACGGGGTGCCATACTGCAAGAGGATGAAGTAGGCTATGATAATAATTTCATGCTTTGCTTTAGAAAATTATTTGTGGATACGTAAGTGCGGAGCTGATCCACCTTCGTATGAATCTCTTTGGAGTGGGTTGAGCTAAATCGGGAACCCCAATCTACGTAGTTAGGGAGTTAATATCTATGTGGTTGTGTGGAGTGGTGTCCTGGTTTAGGAAAGTTGAGATAATGCATTTTGCTTCCAATATATCTACTGTTGTTTGTAGTACTGAAGTGTGGTAGTTAATTACTCATCAAACATTAGCTCACAGATTAGCAATGTTTATAAAGCTATTCGATGGGTGCTCGATTGCTTAAGTGATGAAACTAAAATCAGTCTATTTTATGCGGTGAAAGCATTGAATTAGATCAAATCTTCACTAGGCCTGTTGTTAAGTGTTTGTTGGTTCAAACATCTCAGGATATTGTAAGTATGGATTATCTTTGTGCATACTGAGTATATGCTTTCAGGTCAAGATGTTTGCACTTTAGAGCATTTTAGTTTTTGCAACATTGAACATAAGTCTCTTTATTCTCTACAATACTCCAATGTCCCCAGATAATGATAGCACTTGAGTCAATGCTGCACCAATACTACTTTCTTGCACTTTGAGTCCATGGCTAATTTGAGTGTAGTTGCTCTTCATCTAACCAAGTGTTCTTGTAAACTTAGGAATCTGAGGTGGAATAAGCTTCAAGATGTGCTTCCACTTGAAATTGGTGAACTGAAGAAACTGACACACTTGTAAGTTCATTTTTAGAATGCACTTAGTTTATGTGGATACATAAATGTTCACTTTTGATTTCTCTAAGTGTTATTGGAAATTTTTAGGTATTAGAGCTTCAATAACTTCAAAGGCGACATTCCAGTGGAGCTTGCAAACCTGCATTCAGCATGAGCCTATTGTTGTTGTTGTTGGTTGAACCTGTTGCATTTAGCGTGAGCTTGCAAACCTGCATTCAGCATGAACCTGTTGCTGTCGCAAACTATAAATTGTTGGTTGCACCTGTTGTTGTTGGGTCTAATTTTGAAATCAGCATGAGCTAGAAATGGCTGGTAGTTTGAATTTGAAATTTTAAATTCAGCATGAGCTAGAATTGGCTGGAAAACACCTGTTCTTGTTGGCGCCATTATTTGAACTTTTGAAAACCATCTGTTGGCTAGAGGCTGAAATTGGCTGGCTGGTCCAGCTCAGCACCAGCCAGCCAATTCAGCCCTGCCGAACAGGCTGTTTGTTTCTCTGTTTTGCTTGCTAATAATGTCAATCCGGACGCCTAGCTGGTTGTTCTCATCAGTCCTTGCCTCTACAATGCGGTGAGCAATGTCGTCACAACAGAACAGAACATCTCTGCGTTGGCAGTGCCATCAGTTGCAACCTAGTACCTCTAAATATATTACAGATGAATAATGCATGAGCTCTTTATTTTAAAATGATACAGTGCAGAATGTGAGAGGGTCTATTATGTTTGGTGGATAACTTACTTGAACTAGAAACCATCGCAATTGTAAATGCTGGCATCGGTATCAATTTCCATCTAGAGGGCATGGTTTACCACATCTTTTGCAGGATGGGTATCACCACAAACCTATCGTAATAACTAATAAGCAAGTCATAGTAGCAGTGCATTCAGTCGAAAATAAAGTAATTAGGCATGCTGTAGCTTCTCACTTCTCCTTTGTTGTCCTTGCACTTCATGGCCGAACAGCAGCAACCTCAAGATCATAGGCAAACTCGTCAAATCCATCCAATCAACAAGTAGGGAACAATTCACAAGCTTCTGGATAAGATCTCATGTTCGCGCTTGCAGCTTGCATCATGCGTTCATGCCCTGTTTAGACGTAACGAAAATATATACACTTGTAAAGTGTTTACATTTGTATTTTGATGTGAACAAGAAAACCAATCAATAACTATCCGCTCTTGTAAAATGTTGTTTGGAAGCACAGTATCAGACTACCTCACTGGCTCACTGCCTCGCCGTGCCCGCAGGCAGTGCAGTCGCAGGCAACGTCCAGGACAAGCACCTGCATCTGCATGTCCCACCACGTTCCAGTGCACATAGCAGAATGCTCTTTTTTCAGGTCAGTCTAAAGTTACAAGTTCTGAACACGAAGTTGAAAGAAGAAAAAAAATTGAGCTGCTGCTGACTGCAGTATAATTCAGTGCTCTAAGTTCTTGAGCTAAAAAGGAAATCCCTGCATGATTCTAAGGGACAGTTCCAAATGTTTGAGTGAGTGATAGAATAAGGCAAGGAAAATATAAATATGAGGCACTTGTAACCTTGCAGTGTCATCACAATTCACAAGTTCAGAACAACAAGCTGAAAAAAAGGGTGAACAGTTACTGACTACCCTACATATAGTTCAGAGCTCTGTAGAGATACTAGTTCCAAATATTTTGAGTGAGTAATAGAATCATAAATGCAAATCAAACAAATGGATATCTGAATTAGCATATCATACTACAAACTTAACAGATGTTCAGTTACAAGGCCATAATTAGAATTTGTAATCGATTCATCAATGGTATTAAACTCAAACATATCGTCTTTGTGTATCCATGATCACTTCAGCTAGGGAGTCACTTTGTACTCCTAAGTAGATACTTCAGCATTGCAAGATCTTGACATGGTTTGCCACTAACCTGCAATAGTGCAATGTGGAGTAATAAGATTTGAGTGAGAAGCATTCTTACAAACTACCAAGAAATAATCACTGAAGTTGGTGATGACCTCAGCTTCGATTGGTCTATGGGGATGGGTCACTCCCCGTCCCCGAACTCTGTGGGAAGTTGGTGGGGGAAGGACGCCCAGCTGCAGCAGCAATCCATGCACCGCGTCAGATCAGATGAAAAACTGGGAAACAGAGACAAGAGCAGAGGACCACTCACTGAAGCAAACGTACAAAACCTGCGGCGGGAGGATGACGCCGCAGGCGCTGGGCAGGTACATCATGCGGACGGGGTCAACGGGTTTGTGCAACACCTTGTTCACGTCGCCGAGGATGACCGGGCACAGGCAGCGTAGCATGTGGTCCCCTCCTCCGGCAGCCGCCGCGGCGCTGGACGTGCGCAGGAACGCCGCGAGGGCGGAGCAGCATTCGCTGGTGGGCGTCGGCGTCTCCGTCTCGTTCCCCGTCACGAAGTCACCGCAGGCCGTCAGTGGCGCCAGAGGCGCCACGCAGTCGTAGCCGGCGCCGGCGTTGCTGCCGCCGCCCCTGCCCGGAACCGGCAACGGCCGTGGCACGGGCCAGCCGGGGAACGGGCGCGGCGGCTGCGGCTGCGGTGGCCTCGGGCAGGTGCACGGCGGGCACCGCAGGCCGCGGGGAGGCGGCACTGGCGGAGACGGCGCTGGCACCGGCACGCAGACGTCCCCGCTCTCCGTGAGAGACTCTTCGGGGGCGAACGTGTCGTTGCAGTACGGCGGTGGTGGGGGCGGCGGGTGGACGGGCTGCACGGGCGCCGTGGGTGTCTGGGGCGCGTTCCGGTGCCGGAATCCTCGATGCCGCCGGTAGCGCAGGTCGTCGACAGCAGCGTCATCGCCGGCAGCGCCCAGTGGCTGCTGCTGAAGCAGCAGCAGCAGCAGCAGCATTGTTGTGGTCAGAAGCGCAGCGCTAACTCCAACTTTGGCCATAGCGCAGCGGTGAGGTTGCGCCTGCTGTGTTGGATGGCGGTGAGGCTTTGCTGCATCTGCATGTGTGTGTTCTATTCTATATAGCTAGAGATTGAAGACGGAGACGGTGAGCAGGTGACAAAGAGCACACATGAAGATTACTTACATCCGCTTCGTTGCGTTGTAGGTAGGGGATTGGTAATTCTGTACTAGAGTAGAGTATTGAGAGAGAGATTGCAGAGTTCTAGAAGAGCATGATCAAAAAAAGGTCATTTATGTGCTTTGAGATTGTAGACTGCACGTACATGTTGGTTTGGGGATGAAGAAGGTCCTTTATAAGACGGGCATGCAGGTCCGAGTCCATCCATCCCTGGTCCGTGCATGGCGCGCAATCTTCTCTATCGGATACGTGTCCATCCATCGCGCGCGCAGCTTCACTCCAGCCCAATGGTACAGGCCCACGTGCTTGGCGTCGCTGGGCGGTCTAGGCCGATATAGCAGGCCGGGCCCCCAAACATTGCCAAAGAGGGCGTTAGGATCTCATCTCAAGTAAAAGTAAAAGAACGATTAGGTCTAGATCAGTTGGTGAACGATGAAAGCGATGGTATATAAAAGATAGGTAATCCTACTATTAACACGTCCGGAAGGCCGAAGGCCTCACTTGGTCCACTCAACGCCTTTGCGCCTTCGCCGCTAAAAAACAAAATCAACTTCCGCACTCCTGCGCCCCGCTCGCTCCGCCCTTACCCTTCGCGGCCTCTCGGCCGCGCGCGCACTAACGCCGGTGTCCTCGCCCACCGAGAGCCCCCAACGCTCGCAGATCCGGCGGTCCTCTCCCCCACCCCGGCAAGATCCATAGAGTAGGAGCGAGATCCACTCGCCTCCGGCGAGATCCATGGAGGTGTGCGGCGGTGTTGCAGGGGAGTGGGCAGCTCTCCTCCACCCCCGCGGCGCCCTCTCTCACCCAGCGACCGAGCTCCTCCCCACCCCGGTGGCCATGGCGCCCCCCGCCCCCCATCCCCACCGTCGCTGCTGAGCCAAGCCCGGTACTGGTGGCGGCGGTGCTCGTGCGCCGCCGACTCCGACCCGGCCGGCTAGAATCGACCGGCCTAGGCTTCCCCTCCCCTATGTTGCAAATGTATGTTTCAATCGTTTCAAAGGTATTGTAGTTGTTTCTTATGGATGTTGCAAAAGTAGATCAGGGGATGTTGCACATGTTGCAAGTGTTTCATAAAGCATGTTGCAACCGTTTGTTCAAAATGTTTCATCTGTTTCCAGACGTATGTTGCAATCATTTTTTATCTGGATGTTGCATATGTTTTCACATTTATGTTGCAACAGTATGTTCCAAATGTTTCTAGTCTTATGTTGCAGTAAGTGTTTTTTCATGTTGCAATTGTTTTCTCGGGATGTTGCACATGTTTCACACACATGTTGCAAGCGTATGTCCCTAATGTTTCATCTGTTTCAAATGTATGTTGCATTCGAGTGTTTCATGTTGCAAGTGTAGACTGTCGTCGTTGGTGTCCATGAGGGCGGGTAGGGCCAAGCCGCGGCAACCGACGCGTGGAGGAGGCGCAGGCCGTCGTCGGCGGTGTGGGGAGGAGGCACAGGGCGCACGGTGCTATTGTGGAAGAGATGGGCGCCGTGCGGGTGTGGAAGAGGCGGGGGCGAGTCATCCGAGCAGTGTGGGCAGTGGATCTGAAGCGGACGGTTTGGATGAGAGCGCGAGAAACAGAGCTTGCGCGGGCGGCACGCGAATCCGAGCGGACGAGGCGGAGCAGCCGCGGGCGTCCAGACGTCTAGGCGCTAGTGCTGCCGATAAAGATGTGCACATGGATGCAAAGAGGTCGACAATTTTAGAAATGTTGTAAAACCACCACTACAAAAAAAAGGGAAACAGACCCCCTAATTACTAGAGGTTGATATTGTTAGAAGCTGCGCCTATATAGTCTATAGATGGTTAGGCAAGTCTCAGGCAAACATTTGACTTTAATCACTAGCAAAAATGCAAGTGCGTTGTATGGAACCCCAATACGTGTTGGGATCGGACCCGTATCATTATTGGACGCAAGTTATTCTAATTTGTATAAGCATGTATCAACAATCCAGATCATATATGGGTCATGAATCCAGGTCATATATGAGATACGGAGGGTGTGAGGGCAGATTGCAGGAAGTAAAAAAGTAGGACGAAAAAATTTGGGAAGTAAAAAATTGGATCGGAACAAATGCTTTGCTCTTTAATATTAGGTAGAGATAGAGATTTATAGAGGTGGACATACCAAGCAGACCACCTCTGTTATTCGATTAACAGTGATGTCCGCATCTGAAAATGGCTATTAACTAGACAATAATTCTAAGGGTGTCGCCTCTAGAAATCGATTAATAAGGGCAACACTCATAAGAGACCCGTCTTTAGAAATAGTTACATAAAAATAATTCATAATTTCATATGAAGTCGATGAAGACGAACTTTATACAAAATTTATAGAAATCAATGCGATCTATAACTTTGTAGATGACAAGTTTTTATTTAAAATTGTTTAGAGTCACGGGACTTCGTTTTATTTTTTTAGAATTTCAAATTTAATCCAAGCCTTTCTGAATGATCACGGATGTTGACATAGTCTACAACTAAATTTTAGTTCTCAATGATCTATAACTTTGTCGTAGACAAGTTTTTTTATTTGAAGTTATTTAGAGTCATAAATATGTGTTTGAAGTACTTAGGTTTTAAAATTCTAATTTTAAGATTTTTAAACAACTTCAAATGTTTGACTTGGTCAATAGCAAATTTGTGGTGGTGGCCGATGCGATCTACAACTTCATAGTTTACAAGTTTATCATTTGAAGTCATTAAGTTATCATGTTTTGAGATTAAAAAATTTAAAATTTTAAAACACTCTCGAATGGAAACATGTCCTATGTTGTAGTTCTTGACAAGATCTAAAACTTTGTAGTTAAATGTTTTTCATTCAAAATTATTTAGTTGTCAAAACATTCAATATAAGATAACAAAATGCTAATAAAAAAACATCTTATACTCTCAACTGAGTGTGTAGTGCAGTGATAAGAGAGGTTTTCAATTTCGGTATTGCAAAAATTTCGGCCACCACCGAAACTACCGAATTTCGCGAAATTCGGCCGAAATTTCGGCGAATTTTTTTTAGAGACTAGCACATGAAGTATGCTTTTTCTAAAAAAATATTTAAATCTAAACAAATATTAGTATGCTTTATGACTACACATCTATTGAATACAAAAATATGCAATATAAACAATAAAAAATTGAGTCTAAAGTTATATAACACATGTATTAGTGTATTACAAAATTTTGGATTTTTCTTTCGGCCACCACCGAAATTACCGAATTTCGCGAAATTTCGCCGAAATTTTGAACCCTTGTGTCACACGTATTTGCACTGGGTGTCATCTCTCCTCGATACTTATGGACATGGACACGTATTAGCGATGGACCGTCGTCTCTTGTGCCGCAACAGATATAGAGAGGCTAATACGGCCGCAATATCTCGCCGACTCCTCATTCACAGCCCAAGAAGGATGGAAATGAATACATAGCTTTGCTTGGGACTGGAGGTTTTGGGTATGTGAGCTTCTTTCACATGCTTGGCAAAGATTCTTGAACCTTGATGCACCCCAATTATATATTTGTGTGAATGTCCCTTGCATATGAGCCCCTCACTTCTTTGGCATCCAAGCAAGCTTGGGACTCTTGTAGAGACGTCAAGAGTTTTTGGGACCAAAATCTTCTTAGGGAGCTTTCCCCTTGGTATGAGTGCCAATGAACTTTGCCTCCACCCTACATACGGTCATTAGTCTGCTTCAAAAATATATAGTGAGTTCCCCCAAAAGTGAACTTGAAATTTTGGAACGCCGTTGGCCTTCAGCAAACGACGGGGCAATATGCCATCAGTGACCTACACAGAGTTCAGAAAATCACCAAAGAACCATATTCCGTTCTTCAGTTTATGCTTAACCCTCTCGTCGCCAATGTTGCTATTCTGATCTTCAGTTTATGTTTGCGTAAATCGTTCCCCATGATGGATTCGAGGGTTATGCTTGGGTAGACCAATCACCGTGGTGGATTTGAGGGTTATGCTTGCGTAAATCTGCAAATGGTTTCTGAATTATGGTATGGTTGGCAAATGGCAAAATCACGACAGGGTCTCATCATGAAACTTACAAAATTCTGGATTAGGAACATAAACAAGTGCAAATGAGAAAACGGAACTAAGAATTATGGTTTGCAAAACGTGTCTCGGTGTTCAGTGGGATGTCCAACTCTTGGTAGTCAGGGGCTTTGCTACAGATATGCAGCCTACCTGTTTTCTTTCAGGCTTAGGTCTGCTTGTGGTTGGATACTTTGAGTTTCCAATGTGCATCTATCTGTAATTCTGTATAATGCTGTACACCATACTGTAGAACCTTTAACTTGATCGATTTTGTCAGTATCACACTAAATTTTATTCACCTGCTTGCTCTGTACAATTTGTGTACTATATGCGTTATGCATACGCCTTGAGCATATGAAATTGACTTGTTGATTTTGCAGATAACTCTCTGTTTCATTTGGGGATGGCTAGTGTTATGTTGCATAACTTCAGTGGTTCAGACTTAAGTGGATCTTGTTCAGTAGGGACATGCATACTCCTTGTTTCCATTTGTAGTCCAACCAATTTACGGATACAATTAATTAAACGACCTTACTGAGTGGTGTATGATCTCCTAATATTTGCAGTTTTGCACAACATCGTAACCTCTGTCAAGTCATCCATGGATGCTGAGTGTATAACTTGAAGAACACAGAAAAAATGTTGGCAGCAACGAACCGGTAGTCTTGTACTCTTCGAGCTCTCTGGCTGCCTGTATACAGCTGCTGTTTTTCTACTTCAATTATGGCAATCACATACGATCTTTTTTTTTTCTTACTCTGTTCTGTTATGGTAGTGGTACTTGCATAAGCTAATGTGCTTTTTCTATGGCAGCCACACATGGTA